GATAAAGTGTCTTGCACAAAAGTTGCAGAATGAGAATTCCAAAGTGTCCTCCATTCCAGGGGAGGAGCATGTGATGATTAATTGTTTCTTAATAGATGTTAAGGTTAAACATCTAGGTAGGTCTTGGTTTAATAAAGAAATAAATGTTCTTAATGTGGTAAAAACAGAAAATAGAGTATGTGTAAGTAATTTTGTTTCTTAAATAAATTAACGCTCTTAACAAGGTCAAAATGGAAAGTTTGGATACATACAGTTGTTTTATATGTTGCTAGTTTTAATGTTTATGCTATTGTAAGGGTTGACAATTGTTTTTTTTATGTTAAAGACAAAAGTGGATGTGATGCCACGAGAATCAATCCAGAGTTTGCGGACAACAATGGGATGACATTTTGGAACTTACAAAGTTACAATGACGAATCGGTTCTTCTGCTGCAAGGTAATTCTCAAAATTTATGAGCTCAATTTGTCTGATTGATGATACCATTTTGACTAGGGAATTAGCAAGTTTTCTAAAAGAAAGCATCAATGCAGATATGAAGATACAAGATGAAACTGCTACTTTACTTGAAGAAAGCTGGTTTGTTTACGGTCTTCCAGAAAATTAAGATAACAAAACTAAAACACACGAAATATTATAATAAACTTATAATATTTTTTTTTTCATTTACATATATGTTAAATACAAGTTTAAATGTAGTAATTCTATCATTTAAAATAAACTAATTATAATATGGAAAGGAAGGAAGTGTATATATAATATATTGTGTATGTAATCATTTGTCCAACATTCTTTTTTGAACTTATTTCAATTTGTAACTATGACAAGTAATAAACAACGAAGAAGAGAATACCTGTGAATTGTTATATAATGAACAAATAACCTTGATTCTATAATTGAAACATGTCGCAATGATTTCTCCACATCATTATTAGAGTTTCTAAAAAATATAAATAATTATACTTTAAAAAGACATAACATTTTTAAAATAATGATATGAAAGTATTTAAAACATACATTATGAGACAAAAATTTGTTAGAAGTAGCAACAAGACAAATGTATCACTGAGATTTATATATCATCAGATATTTGTGATGAGTACTATATATTTTTTAAGAATTTGTTTTTTTAGTAGATTTGAGGGAGTGGATTTGAAGGGATTTGAACATAAATTTTTTTGTCATTTATTTGAGTGAATTTGGAGGTAAATGAGAGTGAATTTGGAAATAAATTTTTTTAATTTGTGACGTCAATACAATTCTATAATAATTCTCACAAATTTTATTTCCAAATTCACTCTCATTTACCTCTAAATTCACTCAAATAAACGACAAAAAAATTTATCTTCAAATCCTCTCAAATCCCCTCAAAAGAACAAGACCTAAGTGTTTGTTTTCGTTGTTTATTTTGAAATTTCATTCAGTCGAATTAATATTTGATTTGAAAATTGTAATTGTCCAATTTCGGAATAGTTATTATACTATATAGTGTGTCAACTAATAACATAATCCAACAACTATTAATCGATAGAGTGTGATTGATTGGTGATACGGTCGTTAAAGACAGTTTAAGACTAATTAATAATATAATGGTCATTAATAAATGATTAACAAATATATTAACAATCAATAATTGTTAATTAATAGATTTGATTAACATCTATCAATACAAGTTTGAAGTCAAAGTAAAGACGACATAACTCAATTTATTACCACCTTCTTGAAAAATATATTTGACTTAGTGTTGGAGTTTTTTCTACCCATCAAAATACCAACTGGTTTGAAGATTACCTGCAAAGAGGTATGAACAATAATAGTAGAAAGCAAACTAAGATAGGATGAGACCTTACATAATCGAAATAGTTATTATGGTCATGTAAGATGATTGATGATTCAGATTCCATAAACCCTAATAATAAATTTACTATTAAAAAAATCAAAGCGTAATAGTTTGCATTGATATTATTTATCCCATAAGCTATGCTGCAAATAGGACCAAGTTATTTAATTCGGTCTGATGTGAGATTTTAGGGATGAAGCAGAACATATAGAATCATCGTGTGCAAAAATGTTTAATAATGTTTTTTGTTTATGAAAATGTTGTTCAAAATTTGTTGAATGGATATAGGTGTAAGGTTGAAGATGGTGACTGAAAGTGGTAGAAGATGGAACGGTGGAAGAAGCATAGATTGCCACATAGAAGGAAGAAGCTTCAAGATTTTATTCTTAACTTCTGTATTCTATCTCCTCTGAAAAATTCAAATTCTTGTCACTTTCTTAAATTATCAATGCTTTTATATTCAGTAGTAATGTCAAATTTGGACTCAAACCTACTTCTAAACAACATTGGAATAAAATAAAATAAAAGATTGTGTAATTGTTTCATTTGTTTACTTACGTACAAACTACAAAACAGATTCACGTTTCAACCAAGTTTGTTTAAATTTTATTATATTAGAACAGGAATTTAAAAATAAATACATTATTATGAAAGTTTTCGGGATGATTTACAAAATATAAATAAGAAAATTAAAAATAAGTTATTATAATTATTAAGGGTTTATCATAAATAGAAATTTTTAAAATTATACTTTTGTGTAATCCATTATTAGAGTTTTTTATTTTTCGCGTTAAGTATGTTTTTTATTTCCAAATTATTTTTAAAAATTATGGTTAAATTTAAATTATATGTATATTTCAAACTATTTAATGAAAAAAAGTAAAATATTTTTCAATAAACAATACTGACAATATTTTCTATGTAATAAATAGAATCTTATAATAAACTATAATATACCATTCACGGAAAAAATATTTTATATGATTTTAATAAAATATAAAAATAAAACAAATATATTATTTAAAAAAAAATACTGTGAAATTTATTTTATTATCATGTTTATTTTGGTGACAAGTGTTCTAAAAATTAATTTTAGGGAGAAAATTAATGTTGTTTTAGAGAGAAAATTAAGAATCCATAAAATGTATATACACATCGTACGACATACATAAAGAAGACGATTATTAATTGGTTATATATATATATATATATATACAACTGGTGGTGCAGTTAGAAAGAACCTGTAATAATTCTAATATCCTTTTGGATTAGGGCTTGCTAAAATTTCTTTTGGGTCACAATTTCTAATTTTTATTTTCTCTTTCTGCACCCACGTTTTCTTCCTCTCAGTGGAAAATGTCAAAAATATCCTTTTGTCAGATTTTGTTAGACAAACTTTTTAAATTAACTCATGATTAATTAAATAATTAAATAGGCATGCTCATTTTTAGATATAGTGATCATATAAGTTTCAATGAAGTAAATAAAGAAGACAAGATTTACAAAAATTGAAAATTTATTAATACTTTTTTTTTTTGTTTTAATTTCAATACGAAACGTATTTTCAAAATAAATGATGAATTACCGTTTGAGGAAAAACGAATATTATTTTGGCCTTTTTCTTTTAGATAGACACAAGAAGTGTTATCATGTGGCATGCCATGCATACGCCATCACTAAAATGATAGTGTTAGATTGTGAGAATGGGTTGATAATGTCCATAACATGTGAACATACCCATGCCATTAAAATAAACTTGTGAGAAAATCACTATGTGATGAGGTAGATTAGATATGTAAGAATATTTGTATTTAATCAGATAACTAAAAACCCTAGATAAGTGGAAAAAAATAATAAATATTACTATCATACAATATATAAATATGCACGTAATAATATTTGAGTTTATCACTTGACGAAGAAATCAACATATAATTTTAAGAGTAAGAAAATGAAAATTAATATATATATATATATATATAACAAATATCTTGATAACAAATGATACATTAAGAAAAAAAATTCTATTTAAAATATTTTAACACGTAACTTTGATATTATATTAAAAATAAATTTTAAATTTAATTCAACTCCTATTTACATTTTATAAAATTATCTAAGTGTAATTTTCTAAGTTTTACAAATTATTTGATAATTTAATATTTATGCAAAAGATAGAGTAGAATTTAAAATATTTAATGCTAGGAAACAGAAGTTTACGTTGACTTTGATAAATAAAATAGAAAAAAAAAACGAGATATATGGAATTTAGAAATAAAATAAAGAGAGAAGATGGCGACTGTAATAAAGAATAGCAGCACATAGGTAGGATATTATTATTAGGTGCTGCTGTTACTTTAATTATATACTTCTCACACTTGAAGGGCCACTAAGACTATGTCATTGTTTAATTCATTCAAATTTTAATAATAAAAATATAACAACATAATAATATTTTTAAACCAATAATCAGAGGTTAACGTCTCTTTTCACATAAGCAATTACAGAAAATCTTATCTATAAAGAATTTTTTTTTTCATAAAAGGACAGGATTTCAGGAAAATACAAAAAACTCAATGACTTAGTTATCTAGCAAATGTATTGACTTTTTTATTTATTGGTAATAATAATAATAAGTGTCTGTTTTTTTTTCCTTAAAGAAATAATATATAACTTTGAAGCTTTTTTTATATTATCATTCAATAAAAATATAATGTTACTACATACTCAATAAAAATATATTAAATATTCTATGACTTATCTAAAATTTCAAATTTATTTAACATTATCTTTTTTATTTTTTACTTTTCTATTTTATAAATGTAAAAATTTATATTTTTATGAACATCTTATCTTTATACTCTATGTTAAATAAATGTAAAAATGTATGGTGATATCATTTCTACCTCCAAAATAAATAACATCTCATACAATGATTAACCTTTGAAATCAAAATACATCAAAGGTTAAATATAATGTATCAAAGGTTTCATGACTTTTATATTCCTGTAAATTTTATATTCATAAATATAATGTATCAGTGATTACGGTACATATGCATGTTGATTTTTACTTTTTGAAAATATGAATATATTAAATGGTTAAAATATAAAATGTGAATTCCTAATATAAGTGGGAGCAGGTAGCTATTTGAGAAGTAGTTTGTTCTGCATACATAAGAGTTTTCGTTGTGCATAAGGAACCATTTTCTGGTTTCTAACAAAAAACAGCTACACTTCCTTTTCTGTCATCATCATCTGTTGTTTTATGCATACACATACCTCTCTCACTTCGCAAATTCTACTTTCAATCATATGCTATTCTACGTTTCATTCCACAAACTTCCTTTTTGGTCACCAAAAGTATCTATAAACATGTATTCATGTTGAAGACTTTTCGTCTCTTTTGGAGTTTTGGCTGCAGAAGAAAATATGAGCGTGACAGGTTCATCTTCTGGGCACCCTCAATTCATTGCCACCACTGGTAACAGAAGCTTGTCCAATGCGCCGTTGATCGAGAATCCAGACTCTGATCAAATTGTCGTACCTGATGTCAGTTTCAATGGCCCTTCTAATCTTACTGGTTAACTCTGCATAATGTTCTTGGTTGCTTTATGGATTTGAAAAAGCGTGTAGGACATAGCCGAATATGGCTTTATATGTTTGAGATTAACGTTTGTTGTTTTGGATTGGATGCTTTTTTCTCTACTTATATGTTAATGCTAAAGTTTATTTTTTTTAGCCCTATTGATTTGCTTACACTGATAACGTGAGCTGGGAATATGCTGAAAAATGGAATGACATAAGGGGGCGAAGTAGGTTTTGATTTGACTTGGTATTTAAGAAGAACCCGTCTTTGTTTATGATTCAGCTACTAGACGTATTGATTATTATTCTTGTGTCGTGTAGGACTAGCTAACCATGAATACATGAACTTATCAGAGTGACCCTAAATAATAGTATAAAATAATACGTTAAGAAGTAGAGTTTAAGATTAATTTAATCTCAAAAATTGATTTATAAAGTGAGATTTGATCTATTTATATATTTTAAATTGGTCTTATTTTTAGTTTATGGTTTCGGTTAGGTATAGATGATACAAATAAAACTGAACAATGTCTGATATTGAGATTAATCTAAAATGTGTATGTATTAGTGATCACAGTATAATTTCTATCGGTTTTGTATGAATAATTTAGTCTGATATTCATTTCAGAAGCTGCTTGTAGCTTCTATGTCTTATTCTGACAAGGAATGTTTCAAACACACTGCTTATAAACTTCCAAGTAATTATTTGACTCGTGACATGTGCAGAAAGAGAATCATTTTTCACTGGGAATTTTATGAACTGAAAAGAATATTAAAGTTTTTCTTAATTAGTGGTATAATATAGTTGTATATGGTTTCCTGTATTTTGCAGAGAACAAGCTGGAAAAACTTATTTGCATACGTGGGGCCTGGATTTCTTGTTTCCATTGCATATATCGACCCTGGAAACTGTAACATCACTTATTCATTGCTTTCTTTTGAAATAAAAGGAAATATATAATTGCTGACATAGATTTGCTAATTATATTTTTACAATGGCTTGCAGTTGAAACGGATCTTCAATCAGGAGCTCAATACAAATATGAGGTGTAGTTTCATGCAGTTGTTTCAGCTTAGGTTCATTTGTTTCCAATTTAGAATCTTGAACAGTAGTTGATTTTGCTTATGATGTTTTAGTATGCATGCATTGGATTTGGATACCCACAAGCAATATAACCGTTATATTTGTGTTCTACATAATAAAATAGGTTCATGTAGCCAAGGTGGTTGGTTTTTTGTTTCTGTCATGGTTTCTGATTGATGATTTTGCAGATTTAAATTTTGTCATTTGAGTGCAATTACGTTTTATTGAATAATTAATAGGTTGTTATACACCTATGCTCCAGACTTCACATTACTGTTTTGTCACATTAATGCTTTCAGTTACTATGGATCATATTGGTGGCATCATGTGCTGCTCTTCTAATTCAAACAATGGCTGCTAATCTTGGGGTTGTCACTGGTACTTGATTTAGTAATCTTTTGGTTTTTACTGAATAAATTGATGTGTATGAGTTTGGATTTTAACTTTCCTTCTTCTGTTATCAATATTTTCAAAATTCTATTTTCAGGAATGCATCTAGCTGAGCATTGTAGAGCTGAATATTCTCGACTGCCCAACTTCATCCTTTGGGTGATTGCTGAAATTGCCATTGTGGCCTGTGACATTCCTGAAGGTATACTACATACAGTAGGCTTTCAGTCTGAGTTTTACATTGAATAAAAATGAAAAAGCAGAGAAAAAATTGAAAACTCATTATCTTAAGGGTTTTTGTGTGGCTTTCTATGCAGTAATTGGAACGGCCTTTGCATTGAACATGCTCTTCAACATACCTGTTTGGATTGGTGTTCTTCTGACAGGACTCAGTACATTGGTCCTCTTAGCATTACAGCAATATGGGGTAGTTTTCTGCATTCTTTATCAAACCATTGTCACGTTGTATGACATCTGACAATGGTTGTTAGAATTCCAAATGTGAAATTAAGTTTCACATTTAATAGAAATAAGAAAGTAGAACACCATATAAGATTAAAGATCCATTAATACATAACTTTAAGGTTTTGAATAGATAATAATGTCAATTCTTTATATGGTTGAGCTCATATCTCATTGATGTTTGTATCTATCCGGTAAACCTCCTTCTCCATAGGAACTACAATGGTTTGAACAAATTAATGATTGACATTGCATGTTCCATAAGACTAGTGTTTACTAGAAAAAAATCTGAGCACTTTTTCTTGGGTTCTTAACAGGTTAGGAAACTTGAATTCTTCATTGCATTTCTAGTATTTACAATTGCTGGTTGCTTTATGGCTGAGCTTGGATACGCAAAGCCTGTGGCCAAAGAAGTTGTGACAGGTCTATTTGTTCCAAAACTTAATGGGAATGGTGCCACTGGTCTAGCAATTTCACTGCTTGGGGCAATGGTTATGCCGTGGGTTCCTCTTGTCTTCCTTCTGCAGCATTTTCTTTCTTCTGTCCCTGAGTAATTTGCTCTAAATCAGTGCTATGTTTCTTTGTTTACTATGCATTTGCTTCAGACACAATCTCTTCCTCCACTCAGCTCTGGTGCTTTCCAGGAAAATACCCCGATCAGTTCGTGGAATCAAAGTAAACATTTTATCTCTTGTATGCATATATTCATACAAATCAATTCATTTCCAATTATAAGTGAAAGGATGTTGGCCTACTTAGAATATTGACATAAAATTTTCAAACATCAAGGATGTTGCACTTTTTTTACTGTTATTAATATCGTTTTTAAGATAAGTTTACTGAATAGAGCAACATTAATCTTTACAATGGTACATGACTTTTGAAGGTAGAATTCTTTGGAAATCTGTGAGTCTAAGTTCACATTCGATAGAAATGAGATACTTAACCATAAATCCAATATCTTAAGGTTTGAAATAGGGAGTGATGTCACTTTCTTATATGGATTGGATTTAAATCCATTATGTTCTAACTCATTGGTGTTGTGTCTTTCCCGCTAGTGTTTCTGATGTCAATCATCATTCCATTATCTTATCTTTGACAGGAGGCTTGCAGATTTTACATGATAGAAAGTGCTTTTGCTCTTATGGTTGCCTTCCTCATAAATATTTCCGTTATTTCTGTAAGTGGTGCAGTTTGCCATTCTTCAAACTTAAGTGCTGAAGATCAGAAAAGTTGTGAGGATTTGGATTTGAACAAAGCCTCCTTTTTATTAAGAGTAAGTAAAACAACTATATGTACTTAGTTCTTGAGCTTCATGTACCATTTTTGTTGGAAAGTGTGCTGATAAAATCATTGATGATATTTTTATGTGGTCCAACCAAGAATGTGTTGGGCAAATGGAGTTCAAAACTATTTGCAATTGCTTTGCTTGCCTCAGGTCAAAGTTCTACCATAACAGGAACATATGCAGGGCAATACGTCATGCAGGCATGATGTTTTTTTTTTCCTTTTTCTGTTCTTTTGGCAGTAAAAGGAGTACCTACTTCTACTTGTCATTTCACCTTAATCAGTATCTCATTTCAGGGATTTCTTGATTTGCGACTGAAGTCATGGATTCGGAATTTGCTAACCCGTTGCATAGCCATTGTTCCTAGTTTGATTGTTGCACTCATAGGTGGCTCTGCTGGAGCTGGAGAGCTCATCATAATTGCATCGGTATGATTCCCTTGCTCTTATTTTGTCTCCATGGTTTTTATGTTGGAAATCCAAGTGTGAATCTAAATCTCACGTTAAATAGAAATGAGAAAGTAGAATACTGTATAAAACTGAAACTCCATTAACTCGTTATCTTAAAGTTTTAGGTAGAGAGTGATATCGATGATCTTAAGGTTTTGGGTAGAGAGTGATGTTTGTAATCTCTTGTATGATTGTATTCTGTAATTTCTGTCAGATCGTGATGGATAAATCTTGTGCATAATAGTGCTATTGATCTTTTGGGATATGCCATAGTTTGTGCTGAAGTCCCTCTATGTCTGCTGTCAGATGATCTTATCATTTGAACTTCCTTTTGCTCTGATTCCACTCCTCAAGTTCACTAGCAGCAAAATCAAGATGGGAGAACATGTCAACTCAATCACGGTAACTTTTTTCACGACAAGAAAATTTGAAAGTTCTTAAAAATAGAAAATTGATTACCAACATCACTGATTACAAATGTTGTTCTGCATCATGTCTGATAAATGATTTTCTATATATATATACACTTGAATTGCAGATTTCGGCTGTTACTTGGATCATTGGTTCCCTCATCATGGGCATAAACATATACTATTTAATGACTAGCTTTGTGAAGTTGCTTCTTCATGCTCACTTAAGAATTGTGGCTAAGGTATTTCTGGGGATATTAGGATTTTCTGGTGTGGCACTGTACATTGGAGGCATTGCATATTTGGCGTTTCGCAAAAATAAAAAGACTACACATATTTTGACACTTAGAACATTGGAAGATCAGCAAATGGGTAATGCAGAAAATGATGTATCAATGTATAGTCTGCCAAGAGAAGACATAGTAAGCATGCAATTGCCTCAAAAAAGGAGTCCTGCAGAATTTGATTAAGAAATTACTCAGTAAGGTAAATTAGCTATATGTGGAGTCCTAACAAAGGTTCTATCAGGAATCTCTAGAAATTGAGTCTGTGTAAATGAGAACATTATTTGGTGCAAATTGTTGAAAGTCGTATATCGATTAGATTAGAGATCAGGACAATTTAAAGTATATAAATGGATGCAAACCTAATCTTATAAACCTATTTTATGAGATTGATTTAAGCTTTAAAAACCATTTCTTAACACAGATTAAGTATCAAGTAATCATCACCTCTTATATAAAGTGTCAGTCAGTGTGAATATAGAAACAATGCAGCTATGTGTGGCTAACATAACTCTATGGAAGATAATAGTCTTTCATGAGCAGGACTTCTGGTAAATATCATAATCAGCTTTTAGTTTATTCATTTAATGCTTTTCTTGAAATATCAGTGGCGCTTCTGTTGAAACTGGAATGACATTCTTTCAATCCTTCATATTGTCACTTGATATACCTTATAAATAGAAAAGTACTTTTGTGGGAGTATTTTGGAAGAATTTGTAGAGAAATTTTGTGAATATAATTCACTACTAAGATTTTTTTCATATTTTATGGAGATTTTCCTTGTAAATTTCTTATAAAAATTTGTACGAAAAGAGTTTCCTGTCATTTTTCCTACGAATTTTGATCGATAAATAATACTTGCCGATTTCTTTTTTCCAAAAACTTATGCATGAAAACATTAAAATACCTGCAACTTTTCTTACTTCTTTTAATTCGCAAAACCAAATAGAGAAAATTAATAAATATTAAGTAAAATCATAGTAAAATTTGCAGGAATTTTTCGCAAATTACTTTTGTCAAAATATTACTACCAATTTCCTGCAAATTAATATTCATAACAAAATTTATAAGTATTTATTGAGTAAAAAAAATTCAAAAAAATTAGCAAGAAATGTGCATTTTTTAGTAGTATAATTTTCTGCAAATAACTTTACACCAAAAAATTGTAGATATTTCCTTTAAAATATAATTCTAAAAAAAATCATACATATTCTTTACTAAAAATATTTTACACAAAAAATGGTAAGTATTTTTTGTGAATATTTTTTTGCAGAAAAAATAGTAAGTAATATCTTTTTGCAAATAATTTTATACAAAAAACTTTGCAAGTATTTCATGAAAAAAAAAATTATAATAAAATTCCTATATATTTCCTGCCAATTATATTTTATATGAAAAACCAAATGAATTTCATGCCAAAAAAATTTCAAAAATAAATATGCAAGAATTTTTTGCTAAAATTTTTCCATTAAAAAATTGGAAGGTAATAAACATTTTTCTAGTAGTGATTCGCACTATTTATATTATAACTCTTTTTAACTTATTTCAATAAATTTCTTCGCATATTATATTAAAATAACTTCTTTATATCTTATGGAAAATGAATCCATTGTCTTTTTTTCAACATAAGCTATTGTAAAAACTGAGTAAATTGTCATGATTAGTATCTCCTAAATTCAACAAATCACTCAGAAATTAACCAACATCATAATCATGTAATATTATATATATATATATATATTCGTTTCGTTAATCAAAATCAATTTTCAAAACCACTCAAAATGTATTTTAATAACCAATTAAAATAATATAATTATTAATAGGACAAAGAATTTTAATGTTTTGAAACATAACAAAGAATCCTATGCATGATTCACAATATTCAACGACAACTCGACAAAAGAAAAAACATTTCTTTTTTCTGCATTGCTAAATCAAACCATGTAGCTAGTGATGAACAGGGTTTAAACATGTCACTCACACATGTCTAAAAATCATCCCCTTTCCAGGTTCCATTGTAACTTATTGTCCTAACATAAAAAAAAAGGAAAAATATATTTTTACATTAATAATTTTTTTACATTTGATATTATTCTTTCTCTTTAATTTTTTTGTTTTTAAAAAAAAATATAAAAATTCAATCTTTTAATTATTTTACCTTCTTTATTTTATTCTTATAACATACGTGAAATAAATGTAAAAGTGTACCACTCTGTTATTATTTTAAAAAAATCTTCCTCCAACTATCCTTTTCCCACATATACAGGGATAAGCAGTAACCAATCTTATTGTTACAAGTTTGTGCTTTATAGGAACTGTGATGTGAAAAAAAAGAGAAACTTGTGGAGAATATGGACTTTGAGTGACGAAGTTGGTATGTTTATTTCAACATTTTGGAGAAACTGACCTTGCATATTAAGCCAAAGGTGTCACTGGGTTATTATTATTTTCATTTCTTTCATTTTCAGTGCAACCAAATACAGAGTGAAGTCAAACTGATTGAATGTCAACGTCTGTGTCTGTCTACAAATATCAAATTGCTTGAACTTCTGAATGTGACAATAACTTGAAGCAAAGAAGCATAATTACAAAGGGTGGAAAATCCATTAATATTATCAATTTTACTTTTACACAAGGCAGCAATTAGCATGGAGTGTGTCTTACAAACTCAGAATGCACGTACTTCTCAGGATCTTATATAATTAACTCAAGACAAATTCATTTAACAATAACTACTTTAAACTTGTTAATGTATTGCAACCTAGCTAGTTAGGATTTAACTTCAATAGGAGTTTTCTTGCTTTGGGAGCACAGGAAGGTGGCCATTGTCTTGCAGATTTTTAACTGTGTCATATAGACTCTGTTTCACTGGGGTGAATTCCATTCCCAAATCTTTCAGCTTTTGGTTTGAAAACATATAAGGTTTTACTCTCGGGTTCTTTTCATCTGAACATCTGCACAAATGAAATGTCATGTTAAGTTCCAATCTCTCACCAAAAATCAAATCATCAGTACTATTCTTTGATGGAAAACAGCTTTTACACAGGTTAGTAGTAACAAGCGTATCTAACTTCTTCAATCTCACATGTAATGATTTAACAATTATAAATGGTTGCGGTTGCAGGTTTTCCAATTCCAATCATATGATATATGATGTGCTGTTCTTCCAAGTAAAAAAAAGGTGAAAGCAACCTATTCTTGGTGGTTAAAGTGTTTTTGTTTGCTGTGAAATTATGGTATAAGTAAAGGTCATGAAGAAGTCAAAGTTGGTATACCTACCCCACAAAGTTTTACATTTATAGTATCTACATTTTTGTATTCTACCTCACCAGAAAAACATATCATTGTTGGTAACCAGTACTCAGAGCTATGACACATTCATCAATTTCAAATTCTGTGCACAAATAAAATAAAGTAATCAAGAGAACAAAGTCTTACTTGGTGGGAATTGGGTACTCTGGGAAAAACTTGCCCAAAATTTCAACGAGGTCACCACGATGCAGTGAACTTTCGGCACATATGTATCGACCAGAAGCTGAAGGAGTCTCATACACAAGAACATGGGCTAGTGCGACATCCTTAACGTGTACATAAGACTGTGTGGCATTTACATAGGTCTTAGCAGAGCCAGTAAGGTACTTCAGGATGTGAATTGTGCTAGCATTAATGGTAGGTTGAAGCAATGGACCAATAACCACAACTGGGTTCACCACAACCAAATCCACCCCTCTTTCTTTAGCTATATCCCATGCTGATTGTTCAGCCACCGTCTTCCCATAGCAGTACCAATTCTGCAGATCAAATTAGCCATTCCATTATTAAAACACACATTTCAAGCATTAGTTCCACCTAAAAGGACACGTATAATAGCATGCTGTTTAAGTCATCGAATTGGTAGGAAACAAAAAACAGAATGATTCATCAACCTTGGTGTTCTTGCAGTACTCCAAATCACTCCAGAATGATTCATCAACCACCACATCCCTACTCGTGTTAGGGTTCATATACACCGTGCCAATTGACGAAGTGAACACCACGCGCCGCACTTTTGCTTCTGCAGCTGCTATTATCACATTCTTCGTTCCATTCACTGCTGGCTCCACCATCTCTTCCTGTGCATAGCCGATTCAGTACAAAACGTTTAGTTCTTCGTTTGAAAATAAACCCTCAACAATTTAGCACGAGAATTTGTTGATTTGGGGAAAAAGAGAAAACTAACGGGGTTGTCGGTGACCGGAGAAGCGGTGTGGAAGACGCCGTGGCAACCGTGAAAAGCAGCTTTAATGGAATCAATATCAAAGAGATCAACTTTATGCAGAGTGAGTCTCTCCTTCGCTCCTTCCAACTTCTTCAAATGACCATTCTTCGGATCCTCTGATATAATCATTCATTAATACAACACATACATAACATAACATCACATAAATTCCCGCTAATCAAGACAACGTTAACTTTAAACAAACAAATTAATTAATTAAATAATTGATTTAATTAGCATGCAATGCAATACATATATACAGTACGTACCTGGGTTTCGAACGGTTCCTCTCACAGTGTAACCTTTCTCTAACAGAACCTTCACAAGCCAAGAAGCTATGTACCCGCCGGCGCCGGTCACGCAGACGGTTTCACCGGAAAATGATGACGTGTCAGTTGGCATCTCGGCGACGATTGATTGAGAGAAAAGGAATCAAAACTAAAGGAATAATGACACTAAGAAGTTTGCAGGTTATGGAATACGAAGATCAACATGCCCAAAGATTCCTTTTATAATCCTGCATGCACCCTTCTCCATCTAACGTGTCAAAAAATTCAATATAATATTAAAATTATTATTACAAATTGCTCTGATTTATAACATAAAACACCATTTAATTTAGTAAAAGCAGCTGCATCTACATACACCTAATCCTTATCCTTGTAGAATATATATATATATATATATATATATATATATATATATATATATATATATATATATAAAGATTATATATTTTTTATTTATACGAAATCTAGTGGGATTTTCCTGTTAAGATTCAAAAGTTTGCATTTTTCATCAGTGATGAATGATATAAAACAAATATTGCTAAAAGGGTCCTATTCTCTCTTTCTCCATAAGCTGTCGCAAAAAAATAGTTATATTTGTTAAGAAATGTCATGATTTCAAATATTTACTAAATTGGAATTTTATGATGATGTTGTTTCTTAGATTTTTTGTTAGCAGATGATGATTCAGAAAGGCAAAATATTTAAATTTTAATTTTTGTGTGAAAATATTAAACGTAGAAACAAGTAATTTCTTTTTCTCTGTATTCTGTCGCTAATAATAAGCAAAATGAAAAAAATATTATAATTGACTTTATATTTCGAATGCACGTTGTTAGTTGTTTTATATATACAATTTTATATTTTAAAATATTTATATATAACATTCGACACGTGCGAACTTAAAATGCAAACGCGCTTCTAAGTCAAACTTGAGTTGACAGAAAACGCGGCTTGTGAAACATTAACTAACAACCACATTTTTAATCTGCTGAAAAAAAAATTCAATTTCAATTTAATCGGTATGTTCCATTTTTGGAATTATATAAATTTAATTTTTTAATGTGTTTCTTAACTAATATTAAAAAGAAAATGTTAAATCATTTAAACAACATGATAAAATATATCTGAAACGTTAAATAAATTTAACAAAATTTAATTAAAATAATTAAATTCACATGTTTATAAAATTAAAAATCTAAATTATATCAAAATTTTAAAAATAAAATAATTTCAACTTTTATATATCAAAATATGTTTAACTTTAAATTATTCACTAAAAAATATATAAAAGATCCAAATATTAAATTAATTATAAGAAAAGAAAACTTGTAATTTCATAAAGAAATATTCACAAGAGTAATCTTTTTTGTGAAACTAATATGTTTATAATATTTCATATATTATCAAAAAAATAACGAGACTGTAAAATAGCCTAATATACTTTTAACAATGCTTAATATATCTTTTTTAATAACATTGTGTTTTATATTTACTTTTGATTCGGAGTTTTCAATCAAATTTAAAATTTAATACATGTTTTATCATCTTGAAAATGAAGAATTATTTTGTAATTAAAATAAATTTCTTATACTAGTTTGATTCTATTTCTTGTTCTTCTGATTTTGAATAGGTTTTCCATATTTTGAAAACTTTATGTATTATCCTTTTCTCTTGTTATTTCTAACACACCTAAATTGCACATGTGAATAAAAAACATTTTTCAACTCAATGTCAAGACAATCCTGACCACTATAAAATAAAAATAATATTTATTAATATTAATCGAAAACGTTATATTTGACATCCATATCAAAAGTAATATTAATGTTTTTTTTAACTATATCAAAATAAAATCTAACATTAATAATGATTGAAAAATAAATGCGATTGAATTCAACTTGAAAGATAAATCCAAAATCCATGACGATTTTACTTTAAACTCAGCTGAACATGTTGATGGTGATATTATAATCAAAGTCAACCATTTCAAATCTAATTTTTTTAAAATAAAATTTAAAATTATATACAGTTATAAAAAATCAAACTATTATCATCCAATTTTAAAATTAAAATTTCTTTCAAAATTCACATGAAACAACCTGCCACAGAATATTTCAAACTCTTCATAAAAATAAATCATCCTGAAATATTTATACGGTGTAATCTTGTTTAAGTTTTTATTCATTGAATTAGTTGGCATTACCAATATTATTTATTACTAATAAAAAAATTACAATTTGTTTGTAAATTAAAGTTTAAATTGATCTTTAAAATCAATTACCAATATTTAATTACTTATTAATATTGATTCTAAATTAGTATTTAGAAATAATAGTAAGTAGCTACATCAAACAACTGCACAAAAAATCCCAAAGATTATTCTGTAATAAGTAAGGAATTTCATATATAAAATTTACAAAGTAAATAATAGTTTGAATCCACCATTACCAAATGTTTTTATGAACTTTTTCATTCTTTACAGTCTAAACATCTGTCACAGGTATTCTCGTCTTTATATTCCCTCTATTTTACAGTACAATACATAATGAATTTAGATCTATTTTATATTCACAAATCAATTTTAAAAAATGAGATTTAATTATATTTAAATACTGTAAATTGTTAATATTTTTAATTAATATGAAATTTTAAAAAAGTTATGTAATATTGACCACCAGGTGTATGATAAAATGTAAACGGGAGATGTGGGAAACGAATCACAGTGTATGGATTGTTTTGTAGTTAAGTGGGAAAGGCAAAATATGCTTGTAGCTAGTGCTTGGGTTGGTGAGGGAAACCGATTCATGAATACTATAGTCAAAGTCAAGAATAAGAGGATGCAGAAATGGCCCAAAATCAACACTGCAACAACCATTTACTTCGAAATTCCAACCTTTTGGACCTGTTGAAGGAGTGGTGAGGAAACAGTATGGGAAAACTCAGTTCTTTTCAAAAGGTTTGGTGAGAACTATCTTTCCTCCTTTTTGACCCCGTGATGCTGCAATTCAATGCCTTTTTTCTAATTTAGCAAACTGCAGCTTGACACATATCACGCTGATTTAAATCCTTTTTCTTTAGTTCAATTGCAGACGTTAGTTGACGTTTCTGATACTGGGAAAAGTCACTTCTAAATTTTTTCTTAAAGTATGTTTTTAGTCTAAACTTTTTCATGAAATTATAATTTGTTTGTGTTCCAAATTTTGATGTAGTTTGATTCTTAAATTTTAAAAATAAATAGTTATAGTTTCTCTAACATAACTTAATTCAATTTTTCAATTTCTTTTACATGTCAAAAGATGTTTCAAATTGGCGTATGAATTGTTTATAACTTTTGATATGTTTCAGGTCAAATATAAACCTAAAACGTTATTTACCACAACAATTACCACAACAAAGACCGTGTTTACTTCTTAATGTAATATTAGAATCATAAATTAAAACATATCTTTAACAAAATTTATTGTTTGACCTGCTATCGGTATTTATCATACATATATTTATTTATCATACATATATTTATATATCATACATATATTTATATGACGATTCAAACACCACTTATGTCTTTGGAAAAACACACTTTTCACAAAACTTGCTAATAGAACAATCATAACGTACTTTTGGATGCATCTAAGGCAAAACGTTTAAGGCGTGTAAGTTACATACTACAGGTCAAGACAAGTACAGTAAAACGATACTGGTTAAATCACATCACAACTTTTATGTTTTGTATTTCTATGATGACGTTTGAAAAACATAAATATTAACCTAGTACAGAAATTTGCACTATAGAGATGACAACCACTACAGTGAATAAGACAATTAATATAGTTTTTGACACAGAGATAGCAGTGTGTTTCATGTTTCACAAAAATTTAGACTTTTTTGTTGTCCTTGTTTATTATGTTTCTCAAGCCAACTTTCAAATTCAAAGATGAAATCATGGCAACACTTTGCTATGTCAAATTCTGCATGCAATGTACCAGATATGTTAAGTAAGTTTGAGAGACCAGGTTTTGAAAATGGTGTGAAAAAACCCTTTTGAAGTAAACAGTCTTAGACACCATAATATATCAAACCATTCTAGACACTGACAAGTTTAACTATGAAACAAGACATACTAAACTGATAACAGGGTAAGCAAAAGTTACAAGCTTTAGAGCCAACTAGTAACACTGCATTGAGGCCCATAGCAGGTAACCTTGCACAACCTTCTCCATTTTGACAGAATCAGCTGTTCCTCTTCTGGTTTTTAGGCTTCTTAGAGTCATTTCTGCTAACAATTACAGGTGAATCATCACCCAAACCAGATTTTTCAACTGCATGAGCATGTGTATGTTTCACAGTTTCAGGTTTGCAGACTAACCTGGACTGAGATTTGATAGTTGTAGCTTTGGCTGACACCAGTTCTGATTTTTCCTTGTCTTTTTCTGCTCTGTATATTACATATAACTTGACACTATTAGCATTCTATATCAGACAAACAGTAGTAGCAAAATAACTGTTTAGAACTTAATTGATGACACCAACTTAACAAGCATATAAATAAGACAAAAGGCCAGTTATTGGTATGAAATTCAAGATAAATTTGTCTTTACTTTAGTATAGATAAGATATAATTCAAGGGATTTAAAAAAATTAAAGTAAAAACCTTATGGTTTGAGGTCCTCACTGGGCTTTGAGATGTAGATATCATCAAAGTGAGTTTTGCTCAACAACGAACTTAGTGTTATGTCAGACTAAAGGAATACACTAGAAGTATTCATTGTTTGATGAAGGTAAAATATTTGGACAAAAAGAGAGACCCTTTGTTTTTTATACATAATTGATAAAGGTCCAATCCCAAGGAAGTGTTTGCATCACCATGGGACAGTGCTAATGTGCATAATCAACATTAATCAAGGTTTCCTCTCTTGGTTCTTGGAAAGGAAAAGAAGAGTATAATGCCAGTAATATTAATGCTCTGCAGACCAAATTATACTTACACGTCTGATGCTTCTGCGAGCCTCTGAAGTGTAAGTCCTTCCTGATGGCAGAATATCAGTATGCACGAATTAAATTTATGAAATGATATCATATTATACACACATGCACACAATGATTAAATAAGTGTCAAAGATTTCATCTTTATTCACCTCAACTGATGAAACAGCAATAGACAAGTGTGAAGCACGTACTCACAATAATTAAAAAGTTGTTAAAGAATTATACTCACCTCAGCAATACGCAAAGTAACTAAGGTCCTTGTCTAACGAAACGTCAACTACTGTCCATTTCTGTTTTTTGAGGTTCAACACTTCAACATCACCATCAGCATACAAAATCTATTAAAAATCATTTCACAGTATTAACAAATATAACTATTAAACTCATTCAATGGTTTAAGCTTTTCATGTTCAGAAGTGTAAGTCTAATTCACACGAATGTTCTTGTTCCATAATCAATAGGTGAATTTCAATTATCATTTTTGTATTGAATAATTGTGCACGAGAAGAATGAAAAAAAGGAGATTGTATGATTAGTTGATTAAGAGATTAATAGATTCATTACATTTTGCTTTGGTCTGGTAAGGCGGTGAGTGGCACAGTTCAGTAGCCTGAAGTTTTAAATTCAAGCTCTTTATTTACATCTACATAGAAAATCAGAACTAAATATGGGAAGTCATCAAAAGATCCATTGTGTTTGACAACATTTTCACTATTTTTATTTCCTATACAAATCTTTGAAACAAGAAAGTGAAGACAAAGAAGCATTTTGTAGTTAATAGTGAAAACATTTAGTTGAAAAAAAGGACTGGAATATCTTCAATCAGCATGTAACATGGTTTTGTGATAAAGAATAGCATACATAATGCATTCCAAATAAGTGGCAATATAGAAAGCTTACATAGGCAGAGATTCATTATTGAATTCTAGAGATAAAAAGCATAAAGATTAGCATCAGTAACTAACATCTCACCTTGTGCTTTCCTTTGATAGGATCATAAGATTCGATAACACCTTCATAAAACCTGTAGTGAAGAATTAAACAAACTAAAATTACAGAAAAATATAAAGTAAGCAACAACAGCACGCACACATGAAACAGGTTAAATACTTATTATGCTTAGGAAAGATCTTATATAACAACTTACCAATATCTCTCAAGGAAAAACTTCCAGAACAAAGCATTTAACTCTGAAGCTAAAGCCAGAAAAAAAAAAAAAAACTGATTTGAATCATTTATCTAAATCACATAGCATATTTCTTAATTCAAGTGTTCCATCACAGTCCAATGGGCCACCCTAGAGAAAAGAGATAGTAGATGACCATAAGTGCCTCCATACTATTTTCAGAAGTACATGCAATTATCTTATGAGCCTACTGAATGAGTTAGCAAGACACGGATAGTGTTTTTCTATTCTCTTCTCACTGTAACATCAGAGGGCCTAATGAATCTGAGTTTATAGTATACTTGGTTAGAAATTGGTAACAGACTAGCGTAGAGATGCCACCAAGATACTTACGTCTTATCTTTTGGCCACCAGACCTTTATTCTCTTACCGACCAATGATTTATCCTTGTAAAGACATTCAGATGCCTGCAAAAAGAGGTACAGCAAATGGTAATTTATTGAGAGGAAAAAGGTTAGCAGGGGTATAAATTAGGATAAAAAAATTAATAAAGGGGAAATTTCCACCAAATAAACATCATTTGATTACAAAAATTTTCCTAAAACCACCCCATCAAAAAGCCTAATGTTATTTAGACCACTATTGCCATACAGTAGGGTAAAATATCTACACGAACAATGGCCAAACACATACACATATGCATAGTGAGAGAAAAAGATGATCAGATGTAAATTTTTAATTACAAAGTCAAAGCAGCATTAGGAAGGCAATATACTGCCATCTGGTTAGAACAATTAGTACACAGTCTCAGAGTATATAACACATTAAGGACCTTCCAGAGTAAAAGGAAAAAGAATACTGAGACATAACAAAGTTAAAGAAATGGAAAACTTCATGGTGTGTTATTGGAAAAAACTGAAATTTTACCAACTCCACAATGAATTTCAAATGCATACCTTAGCACTCACATCACTGTGTCTTCTCCTCAGCCTTGCTTGTGGGGTTTCCTTGACACTATTTAGTGTTTTACTTGCAGATTCTGCTGTCAGATCCTAAAAAGGTGGAGATATCAACCCCAGGATACAATATGTGAGGTTTGCTAATATATTATGCATTGTACTGGGGGATTGTAAAAAGATACTAACTATACCTTCACGGCTGATAATTTGTTGAGGCCCTCGTTAGGAGTAGCATCAAGCCCCCTCCTTTTCTTAACATTTGTTTGAGTTGAGAATGTGCCCTCTTTAATACTTGCTGGCTCATCATTCATAGATGACTTGTGTTTCCCCTCTTCTCCACATGAATCGTTCGGCTCCCCATTAGCAGCTGATTCTGGACCCATGACAAGTTTTCCATCAAGCCTTAAGGAAAATTTGATTTTCCTAATGGGTTTTTGTTCAGAGATATTCCTTGCTTCAGATTCCTTTTCCAACCTAACTGTTGGGGAATCCAAAGAAATCTTCTGAGGCGGAGGATTCGAGTTGTCTTTTAACATTGACAAAGAATTGGAATGAACACCTTCATTCCCCATGATATTTGATTTCCTTCTCCGACCCCGTTTGCTGTGACATCCATCAGAAATATTATTATTTGTAGAAGGAGAAGCATCAGCATTATCATCAGCTTTAGGCTTAGAAGCTGAAGCTTCACGACCTTCACTTGTATCATTTGGGGGAAAATCATTGCTAATATTGTGAGTCCTTCTGAGTTTCGTAGTTTTTGCTATGTCCTCACTTTTCGGCTTATGAACTAGAGTTTCACTTACAGTTTTATTCTTTCGATGCAACTTATCTTTTCTGGAAGTAGCTTTTTCAGAAGATCGAAAAGGAAACCTGGAATCGCATGACTTTCTGGATAGTGTTGATCTTCCCACTTCAGTTTCCCGACAAATCCACGAGTGATCATAGCCTTCTTCTGCATTCATCAGAGAATTAGGCTTACGGCCCCTCTTCCTTGGCACAGTATTCAGCTGAGTTTCTGATTTTGGTTCCTGAACAGACTCTAAATTTTCAGTTTCCAACTTGGTTTTTGCACTCCCTTTTTTTGAGTTCTTGGAAATTTCAGAACATGATCTCCTTTTTGAACCAGTTTTTTTTGTAACTTCGCCATCCAGAATGGACCTTCTGTTTGACTTTGTATCATCCAAAATTTGGACATCTCTTTTACCAGTAACATTGGGTTCATGACCCTTGGTTTCCTAATTAAGGATGAGTTAAAGTTTAATAATACACTAATATTGACTGGTGCTTTAACGAAGCAAGCCTTACAAATATTGCAAGGAAAAATTTAAAATAAAAATAACTAATTGAGAAGAGTAGAATATAATTTACATCATGCGGTTGTTCCTTTGCATCATTAGGAACATTAAGCTTGTTCTCAGCTTCCTGAACCTGAAGCATTGCAAACACAACCAATCCTAACATGAACCTAACTCAGACAAAATCAAGAATAAATACGAAGATATAAATAAAATAGAGATAGATGCCATCCAGAACGAATGCTACAAAAACAGCTTGAGTGAGAAACAATGTTTTGATGGTAAATTACTGGCTTATTAGCAATCAGCTGGAGTAGTTATTTTTCTCTGCTGGAATTTGATCAAAACTTCTTCCATGAATAAATGGAACACAGGTTTTTAGTATGCCTATTCCTTTTGGGCATGTTTTCGAATGATTAATCATAGACTTGGCTAAAATTGGTTATTTAAACCTAATTTCTTATTCCTAATGTTAAATGCCCTTTTTCAGTATTTAATACCAGCCACAGCAAGGTTTTAGAGAACTTGCATACATCAGCTAAATTTGTTCCATGGTTTCCAATAAGAAGGCAAATTAACACAAAGAAAGAATATCATGTATTAGCTATAACAGTTTATCTGATAGAGTATTGCAAGTAAAACGAACCACTGTCTTCTTAGAACCATTTGAATCATCACATTGAGGGGATTCAGATTCATTCTGGCAAATATCAGTTACTATCTGTGCATACTCATTTATCGCTCTGCCTGAGGACTCCACTGCCTTCATGAGATAAGGCTTGAGCTTAGCAGTACAGTTTCTGATTACTTTCTCCCCCAATGTCCAAGACATAGGTGAAACAGTCTGGGAAAATAAATAAAACCAGATTGACTAAGTTACACAAAAAAAAATACATGAAATCAAATTAGCATATGAATAAAATAAAGAAAAAGAAAAGAATACAAGAAATAGATATAATGAAAAGTACATTACCCGATTTTCATTTCCTACACTATCCAACAGTGGTCTAAGAAGATCTGGGGAAATTTGTTCACTTTCTTGTAAAATCATAGTCATTATTGATTCCATTGAATGAAATGCACTACAGGGATGGTTTGACCTTTAAATTGACAAAATATTAGTAAATAATAATTCTAGAAGTGAATGAAAACTTAAAAAAGTGGGAAAAGTAAAAAAGGAAAAGGTAACCAACTTTTGTTTATGTAACAAGAAATCTGCCTTTTTCATCAGCCCTTACTAATGTAAAACAACTTCCAATGTTTATCTATGACCTACTAGTCGTTGGTAAAAGGAAAATGCAAAGAAAAATCTGACTTCCTTGGCTACACCAGTTCCTGTTTGAATACGAATAACACAAAAGAATTCAAGGAAATAGCTTCGTCTTCAGAAGCACCTCAAGTAAATGATAGGAAACTGCAAAACAGAGCCAAGTTTGTCTTTCTACTAATACTAAGGTGATATCGGTAGCAGAGGGAAACTGGTCAAAGAACTGATGAAAAACATGCATCCAAAAAAGAAAGAAAATAGAGACTGCTAGATTTAAATCACCCCAGATCCTTTATCTTACAGCAGCTTAACCTGCTAAGCATTGAAGGCGCTTCAGGATCCTGGTTTAAATTCCTCCCCATGCCTTTCATTGCTTTCATCCCAAATTTGCAACTAATAGCAAATTTGCAACTGATTCTAATAGTTATCTCTACTACTTTCCTCATTGCCGACATGAAACCCAATCCCACGCTTCCCTTTTCCAAACATACACCATAGTAAATGGTAGGTTGTCTAACATATGTATTCAAGACTAATCAGGAAAGCATGCAGAGCATCTGGTACATGATTAAAATTCAATACGATCCTATAACAACAATACCATAACCACAATAAGAGGTATAAGTATGGCCACTTAGACCACTATAACTATAACCATAAGGATATAAGTAAAGGTACCGTACACCTAAGAGGAAATATATTATATGAAAGGGACTCACCCTTGAAAGGAGATTGTTGGGAATAATCCAAGTGAGTCAAAAGTCCAACATTGGATAGAAAAGACAAAGTTAAACACTATATAAGATGAAAGATCCATAAACCATTGCCTTAAGATTTTGAATTAAAAATAGTGTCAAATGTCTTATGTGAGATAAGGCTAAATGTCATATCACATATATATAACCTCACCTAATGAAAACCCCTATACATATATATAAAAAGCCCATCAGGAAGAAATAGATAAAAGAGATATTGTGAAGCTCTCTAACCTTATAAATCTCAAGAAATGCTGAAACATTTCAATAACCAGGTCATTACACTCAAGGTCCAGCATGACCAAGCATAATCTGACCTTATTGACATTTTCAAGTATGATAAGCACTTTTTCATAGGCACAGCCAGATATGTGAGACAACTTCTCCAGAGATGCCACAGTGAGCTTGAAGATTTCCTGCTCACCAAGAAATGATGTTTACAAAAAATCATTGACATCATTTATGGTATACTATACAGTATATTTGAATAATTTAATAAAGAAAAATCAAATGTATCGAACTAAAATTGGTGCCTTCATTTGTTCATCATCATAAGGGGCATCTGGCGCTGTGATTCTTGCAATCTCAGAGATGCAAGATATAACTAGAATTTTAACATCCTCATCTGCGTGCCTCAAAAGTTCATCTGAAATCAATGCCTTCATGCAAGGTACAAGTGATTCTTGAATTAGCTTAGTTGGTTCTTGATCCAGGGTTGATAATACAAGCTCCAGTTTCTAAACGTAAGAAAACCAAAAAAGTCAAAGTTCAATCAAGCTTGGAAGGCCTGCCGTTACAATGATTATAAGCTTTGTTCCAAAATTCATAAGAAAAACTGAAATACATGGCCATAACTCCCTATGTTGTTACTTGAGAGGCATCAAACCTGATATTCCACTTCATCTTTTCAACTGATCTGATGGAATAAACAAAACTCGTTCTAAATATCCATATTTTAGTTCACAATTTGTGAGCACAGGTCAAATAACAAAATAAGACTTGTTTTTGCATCTAATCAACAAGCAATATAATAAAACCCGTGATCAAATTCAACAAAGTAGTGAGTTCATCTGACTAATTGTTGCAACCATACAAGAAATTCAAAAGGGCCTGGGTTATAACATCAAGTACACAGAGAGCATTAAACTCCATAGGTCAATGAAAAATGGAAAATTTAAACATCAAAATAGAAAGAGAAAATATCTGAAGAAATCTGTCCAATTCCTTTGCATACCGATGGTGAGTAAATGGGATTTTATAGTTCTGGTATCTAGTTTGGAAGTGTGTTGCATTCACTGTTCAGTGCAAGGATTTTATAGGGGTTTGAATGGAAGTCCTGGAAGTGTCCTACCATCAAATGGTGCTGGCCAAATGGAAGTGTGGCTTCCCTTGAATACAGAGGCAAGTCAACAAAATGTATGTGGCCTTGTTGATTACAGCCATGCAGTCCAAATAGAAAACTTGATCTTCAAGGAGGCTTTGGACTTCCAAATGGGATTGTAAAGACGGACATTGGACAGTCAATCCATTCAACAAATGATTCAGAAATTGGAAAAGGGATTTTAAGGAACACACCGCATAAGAAAAGTGAATACAGTCACACAGACCCAAAGAGACTCAAAGTCAGAAAATTCAAGAAAAATGAAAACTTGAGTGCTGTAGAGAAAATGGAAGACATGTTAGATCATGAGAATATCACAACAATACCTTTTCAAATACAAAATCTACACAGTCTCTTTGATAGATATCCAAAATTTGGGCGTCCAAATCCATTTGAGGTCAGAAATACCAAACATAACAAAACAAATATCTGCACCGAACACAGGAATTAAAGGCAGCAACTAGAGATCTACTGAACAATGATGGTCCAACTGCTAGAAATTCATGATCAACTTCAGAAGACAGTGGAACTCATGGCACAAAAAATCAGCAGGGAGATAGAAATACATGCATGTAAAAAAGCAGATGAAAGATCATTACATGAAGCAGCTGCAGAAGCTTGTGAAGTGAAGAGCCCTTGAGAAGCTTCCTCCCCAAATGTCTAAGTTTTTTTGCCACACTCCTCTCAGTCTCGTCAGGAGAGGCCATTTTCAGGTCAGAATGTTTGCACATTCACTAGAATGCACAATCAGGATTTATACTTTATAACCCTAACTGGTGAGGTCACTGCAAATATCTGAGAAGTTGTTTTTTGTGAATTCAGGGGCTTCAGGAATGTGTTGCACGTGCACATGCAAACACACCCATATGATCACCTGCACAATCCATCCACCAATGATTTTACAGTTCCACTTCTCGTTCAGTTTCTTTCTGGGTGCGCTTGAAAACAGCCATACACAGTTCTGAGATTACTTTTGTTTTTTCCTTTGGTTACTTTAAAGACAAAATGAAAAATAAATCCTTAAAAGGATCATTTCTTTTCTTCCTATTGTCACTTTAGACCTGTTTTTGAGCATTGAAAACAGTGCTCATGAACTGAGTTTTGGTAATAACCCTGCTGCAATTACCATTATACCACTTTCTCATTAAATTTGAAGTGTTACAGGGCTATTAGATTCACTGCCTACACTGTTACAGAGGCGGATTTAATTAAAACAAAAATTTGCATTCCTATTATTTCACGAAACTATTGGAGAATCTCTATCACATGCAGCTGTAACATTATCACACAACAATAGATAACAATCGGATATTAACATCACAATTTAACAGGTCCATAAATAGAATGTGAAAAACAGTTTAAAAGACCTTCATGAATGGAATAGAACGAACAAGACATCTTTTGTGTGTGATTTTTCTTTGCATTACAATTCTGCATATGCACTACTGTTATGTGCGTGAAATGCTTATGCATGAAATTTTTATCATCTTTTATTTAAATGAGTAATCTAGTCTTCTCGTTGTTTACTGCTTTGGTATGCAGAGGGGGTCAATCTCATTCCAAGAGTAGGTCGTCTAATGTTATTATTCTTTAACTTCGGTAAGTGGATACTCAAAGATTATTTGATATTAAAGTTACTTTAGTTTGAAAGTAAAAAACACAAATATTAATTAATGTCAGAGCTACCATCTTACCTTGTATTTTTTATTTATAATTTTTATAATGAATTTTTTATTATAATTAGTTTAATTAAAGTCCAAACTCCACTAATATTAGTTAATAATTTAATAAAACGATTTTTTTGCTTTAAATCATTCCACCTTGATAGTTTGGTAAAATATCATATTTGGTTGTTTAGTTGATTTTTTGAAAAATTCGTTGACCGGAGACATATCATACGTAAGTCTCTAAAACACGAGTATCATTGAAGAGTTGTAAAGGAATTTGTGTTTTGGTCGCTTGATGCTTTCGACCAATTATCTTCATTATCTACCATTTGTGTATTCAATTATGATTATTAAGAATAACAATTAGTACGCTTCAAGCTTTGCGCCTATCTTGGAATGCAAAACGTTTGATTGATTTGGACCGTTAGATGCAAGGAGATCTGACATTTAAGACTACGTAACGGTTGAGTACCCACTTCTGGTTTAGTGTTTTCTTGCGTTTACAAACATATTGAATCCCTTTTTCAAGAGAATTGTTTCCATTCTTTTGTCTTTGTTGTTATGAGATTGGTTTAAAATTTTGAAGTTGAACAAGTGTTTGAGATATAATCTCGTTTGTATGTATTGGATAACGTCAGTAACATGAGAGAAATTTATTTGATGAAAATAGTAATTGTATGTACCAAATGGTGTTGTAATGACAAATAAAATTGTATTATCCTATGTTAAATTACAAGCAATTTGATCAATCATAGAATCAAAGACGATTATAATTTAGGTAGTCAACTATCAGAGCGAACAACAACCAACAACTCAGATAGTCAACTAATCGAGATGACAACAAGTCATCAACCTGACAAGTCATTAGATTTTGAAATTCGAGAAAAAAATACTATATTTCAAAATTCAGGAGCAATAAATTTTGTAATCCAAAAGTAACAAATACTGGATTATGAAATCTAATGAGTTCTTTAATCGAGTTTCAAAATTCAATAATTTCCTAAATTAGATTTTAAAATATAATGAGTTTTTTAAACCAGATTTTAGAATTCGACGAGTTTTCTAAATTGGATTTTAAAATCACATGCATAAAAGAGAAATTAGGAAAAAAAAATGTGTGAAGACTTGAGATACATAGTTAAAGAAATATGGAGAATATAGTAAATATGTTTTGGTTTTACAATAAATAATGTTTACCTTTTTTCTTATATAATTTTTTTTATTAAAAGACAAAATTATACACTTAGAGAGAAACTTTGGAGATGAATCCCCAAGTATATAGTCCTTTTAAGTCTAAACTTGGATTCTATTGGGCTCGTACAGACTTAGTGGTTGATTTGGGCCTGTTGTGAATAATTGGATTCAAACATGACATTCATAGAGGCGTTTCTCTCGCAATTCCATAATTTCTTCTTACACTTCTATAAAGACTTCAATTTTACCCTCCTTTATTTTTTAATTCCACAATATATATCTAAAAATGTTCTGGAATATATAAAATTTCGTAAAATTTTCATTTTAAATTATATAATTTAAAATAAAAAATAAAAAATACATTTTAAAATTTGTAATACAAACTTTATATTTTGAATCTATATTTTGAATTATACAAAATGTAAAATAAAATATACATTTCAAATTATATTATCTAAAATATAGAGGAGAAAAATGACAAGGTGAGGTAAAGAATGTTTGATGGAGAAGAAGGATATGAGTGAAAACTTTGGTGAAAGTGAAGGAAAGAGCTTTTTAAAGGTGAAGGAAGAAAACACGGAGATGAGTGAAGAAGAAGGATAGGGAGAAAGAAGATAAGGACATATTTGTCTTTTTCACTTTATTTATGTAGATGCAGAAATAAAGTATGGATGTGTAAGAAGAAAGAAATTTGTTAATCCTACGTTCCTTATTTATTAAATTAAAAGAGGACAAACATTGTTATTTATTCTAAAATTTATTTAAAACATATAAAACAGAAGAGTATGTCTCAGAGTGTCTTTTGCAGGTATCTCTCTTATACAACCGAACGGCCTCCAGAGTTCAATCAACTCAAACATGAAAAAACAAAACGATTACAACAAAAAGATACGTCTTTCGATCTTACACAAATCCCTACCAAAACAATAATAATTATCGATTGAATCATAATTAAATCGTTACTAATTCAAAATAATGACGTAAGAGTAAATATTCTACCTTAGTGAAATAATAAACTTGGTAAATGAAAAATTAGACTTACCAAAATTTACCATCTACCATAAATTGTAATCAATATTAGCATTTGATTTCGTTATAAATGATATGGTATAGACGAAAAGATATTTAAACATTTTGAAATATACGAGGCAATAAAAAAAAGAAAGTGGTAAACTATTTTAGGTGGGAAAAAGTTGAATAGCTTTGATATATTGTTATGTGAGAAAGAAAAGGTAAAAAGTTTGGTAGCTGGTTTACATATTGTCTGGTGTGGGCTGTTTTATATGGAGAATCGTGTAGACGTTTGCAACCATTAAAACGAGATATGAAATATCTGATTGTAGAGGCAGAAGAAGTTGAGCAAGTGTAGAGATAAATGGTTGTAATTATTAATTAATTAATCGATGAAAAGAAAGAAAAAGAGGAAGAAAAATATTATATTAATATGAGAAAAAAAAAGAGGAAAAGGAGAAGTGGGAGAAAAAGGAATCCAACCACTAATTTGTAACGAAGTAATTTGATTTCCTCCTCTTTCGCCCACTTCTTCTTTGCTTCTTTTTCATATCAAAACAAAAAAGAAAACCCTAGAACGGGAGAGATTTCATTTCCCCCACAAATCTCTTCCTTCTCTATCCTCATTTTTCACTTCCCACTTCCTCCATCCGAGGTAGGTTACGATAATACAATCTTATTATTTATTTTTGATTCATTGATTTATTGTTATTGTTGTTGCTCTTGTTGATAATGTTGTGGTTGAGGATGTTATTGTTGAATTTGAATGAAATCGAACAGATCTGTAGAAGTGTGCAATAAAATTGCTGTCGTGGTTGCAAGGAATGCCGCTGATTTTACCGAAAAGCGATTCGATCCAGATTCGCGAGGTGTGGAACGATAACCTGGAAGAGGAATTCTCGTTGATTCGCGAAATAGTGGACGATTACCCTTACATCGCGATGGACACGGAGTTTCCGGGGATAGTTCTCCGACCGGTGGGGAATTTTAAGAACAGCTACGATTACCATTACCAAACCCTAAAGGACAACGTCGACATGCTAAAGCTCATACAATTGGGACTCACCTTTTCCGACGAGTACGGCAACCTTCCCACGTGCGCCACCGACGTCGACGACGATTCCCACACGTGCTGCATCTGGCAATTCAATTTCCGGGAGTTCAACGTCAACGAGGACGTCTTCGCCAACGATTCCATCGAGCTTTTGCGCCAGAGCGGCATCGATTTCAAGAAAAACAACGAGGACGGCATCGACGCCCGCCGTTTCGGGGAACTTCTCATGTCGTCCGGGATCGTTTTGAATGACAACGTTCATTGGGTTACTTTCCATAGCGGTTATGATTTCGGGTACTTGTTGAAGCTCTTGACGTGTCAGAATTTGCCCGATACGCAAGCGGAGTTCTTCAACCTCATCAACATGTATTTCCCCACTGTATACGACATCAAGCACCTCATGAAATTCTGCAACAGCCTTCACGGCGGTTTGAACAAGCTTGCCGAGTTGTTGGAGGTCGAAAGGGTCGGGATTTGCCATCAGGCCGGTTCCGATAGTTTGCTCACTTCATGTACGTTCAGGAAATTGAAGGACAATTTCTTTAGTGGCTCGTTGGAGAAGTATGCTGGTGTCTTGTATGGGTTAGGTGTTGAGAATGGACAGGGAGCCCATTGAGGACAAAAAAACAAAAAATTAAGAAAAAAATAAAAAATTAGAAAAAGAAAAGAACTTTAAAACTTTGGTAGATCTTTTGTTGTTGTATATCTGGTGGAATACCAATCTCTATTAATGTAAACCTTTGGCATTAAGTGTCTTTATTAATACTCTTTCTTACTACTTATCCTCCATGCCTTCTTGTGTTCTGCTCTGGTTTTTGTGTTATATTTTGATCAGTTTTCAGGATACAAGTTGGCCCGCATTTTCCTGTCAAAAGCAAATTCATGATCAGAGGCAAACCTGAGTGTTGCGGGTTATTGCATGTACATTCCCTCTTATGCCAAACCAGACATGTGGTAAGGTTTGTTCTTGTTTTTATGCGTGCTTTTGATTTGACTTTGCAGGCTGACAGCCATCCTGAATGCCCCAAACACATACACATTTTTAAGACAGTGAATTTGGTTTCTCTATGGCATGATTGCAAAATCATATAATGATTCTTGTCATTTGAAGCACCATGACAATTTTTTCATCCAGAGGTTTCTATTTTAGGGAAGGGATGTGGTCAGGCAGTTGTTGATTAAGAGGCACCAACTGGTTTTTGAACTATTTCTAGCCACAAAAGTGTTACCCATTTCTTCGATTTTCTTGCTTGTTGAACCCGTATGACATAGTTGCTTAATTTTATTTCAAGTGAGAGGAAACAATGCTGTTATATTAATATGCTTCCTACTGTGTCATTTGTATATGTATATCAGACATAGAATGCCAACTGATAACTACTGAGGTAAAGCCACAGTTCATATTAATTTTACTGCATAGCTTAGCTAATGACTCACCCTTTTGTTAGTTTAAGTATTG